AAGTTTTTTGAACATTTAACTTATACCCTGCCAGCAAGCCAAAGCTATCTAAGAGTTTCATTACTTCTAGAAATAAACTAGTGGGATCCTTCAGATATAACAAAACGTCATCTGCGTATAGTGGTATCTTGTGCTCATTCCCTTGTATAGGAATATCTTTTATTTTGCTATTTTGTCGTATCCACTTGGCTAGTGGCTCTATATATAGAGCAAAAAGCAATTGAGATAAAGGGCAGCCTTGTCTAGTCCCTCGTTCTAAAGTTATTCTATCAGATAAATAACCATTTATTTTAACTCGTGCTGTTGGTCTACCATATAAAGTTTGAATACCTTTGATAATATTTTTACAAAAACCAAACCTACCTAAGACCCTATAGAGGTATTTCCAACTAACAGAGTCAAAAGCTTTCTCAGCATCTAGGCTCATCAAAGAAGCTTCTAAATTATATTGCTGAATATGGTTCATGATATGCAACATGTATCGAATGTTATCATGGGTTTGTCTATCTTGAATAAACCTGTTTGATCATACTGTATCAAATGAGGGAGAATCTTTTCAATTCTTTTAGCCAGTATTGCTGTATAAATTTTATAATCCACATTAAGGACTGATATTGGTCTGAACGATCCACGATCTAATCTATCTTTCCCCTCCTTAGAGATAACTGAGATGATAGCCTCTCTCCATGATGGGGGCATTTTTCCATCAATTAATGCTGAGTTACAAGCAGAAAGAAGATTTGGTATTAATTCGGCTCGGAAGGTTTTTTACCATTCCGAATTAAAACCATCAGTTCCAGGTGATTTATTAGCTCTGAGGCTCGTAATCACTGAATTCAATTCTTCTGGTTAATAATTATTAAAAGCAATTCGTCGCTTTTAATATATTATTTTGATCTTCCATAAGAGTTGGTAAACTGAGAGATTCCCAAAAAGTATCCATCTTTTCTTCACTTTCTGAATGGGGTTGTGTATATAGTTTTCTGTAATAATTTGCAATAGCGTTTGGGATTTCTTCCCAAGCCCTATTTTACATTTTACATACCACATCTCAAATTAAAAAATGACGATGTGAAATACAAATCATAAGGGCACAAATGAAAAGTCGTTGGAAGTGTGTTTAAAACCAAGAACAGAAAGCACTTCTTTAGCCAAAGGATTGTGGGAGTGGAGAACAAGCAACCCAAGGTCTAGGCTTTCTAAACCACCTGTTACTGAAGCTGATACCCTGGATCCTTCATGAAACAGCTGGATGAGATTCTTGGATCAATTAACTACTAACTACCAAATGAGCTGGATGGGCCAAATGGCCTTCTCTCCATTTTATAACCTTTCTTATGTGCTTGTTTGTCCTTTGGCTCTATGACCGATTCAAACATTTCCCCCAAAATGTTTAGGTAGAATATGGCATCCTCATATTCAGAGCTGGGGCTCCAATTTAGATGAATGTCCTCCCTCTTTCAGGTTTGTCTTAC